AACAGAATTACCTTATATAATTTTAAACAACGTAAAAATACGATCAACAGGATCAGAAAAGTTAATTCGAGCCCACCGACTTCACGATATTTCCTTAAAACGAATTTGCTGCTTTCAACGGTGCTAAAGGCGTCCAACAATCGTTTCCCAGAATAGAACGAATTTCGTCTCATACAAAAGTAGCACAACAATCCGCAGAGTTCCAACGAACGCAACGAAGTGTTTTCACTTCGAAAATAATATCAAAACGAGAGAGAGGGATGATGATGTTCAATGCAAAGAATATTTGCAATGAAAATGGTGTAAGTTTTCTGGCAGTGGGGCAGGCTATTTGTAAATTTGTTTGTGGCCATTCGAACATCCTCCTGAACAGCGTTCAAAACTCGAACAGACATGTTTGTTCGATACTGCATCGATTTAGTCGGTTAACAGTCGACTGTTTGGTCGATTAACAGACGACTGTGTTAACAGACCATTCAGACCAAGAAAAATTACCTGGAAATAAGCCAAAATTAATTTCATTATGTACCCGAGAATTTGATTATATACAATTTGGTCCAAAAAATTCAAATAAATTTTGTCGAAAAAGTTAATATAATGCAAGGACCCACCCGTGCCATGCCGTGCCGATAGGCGGCGACGCGCGTGTGTGGGTTTATGATCAAACCCGATAGGATATAAGTCTCCCCCTGCCAAAGACTATTGGTACCCCTTGGGATCCAAACACAATTCTCAAACTTTCACCATATAAACCACATCAAAGTTTCCTAACTTTCCTATGCGGGATAAGTATTTGATAAATCAAATTCTTCCATGATTTATAGTTTCAAGTGGGTTACTTTGACATTCAATATTTCATTAAATTCTAAATGGTTTTCAACAAATAAATGTATCACGTTAATCACCTCGCGGAGTAGAAGGTGAATACGCTAGGTCCCGAATTAACTAAACTGTGGGTCCCACTGAAATTAGGGCTCAAAATTGACCCATTTTACTAACCATTTTCCAACAATTGAAGATCATTTTCATTTTGGCCCTGTGATTTATGAGGGTCTCGAAATCTTAGCCTGTGCCATTGCGAAATAGACTCCTTCAACTGTCGATCAGTTGGATTACTATGTTTCGGTAAAACAATCATTCTTTTGATCTTTGCATCTGATTGGTAAGATACCCAAGAGGAGGGAGCAGCATTTCTATATCCATCTTCATATATAGGACATCTAGCTTCTGAACCTCCAGCACTAGATCGATCTTTATTGCCAATCGGTACAAAATTCTTCCCCGAGCATCTTCTTTGGTAATCCTGAGAAATCCCTTCAGCAACAATTATCTGAGGATGTTCAACCAATTCCATAATCCAATACAATCTCTGAGCAGAATCGACACCCAAAAACTCAGTCCTTAAAGATCGCATCTTTAGCTCAGTTTTTAAATTGGTAATTGAGTTTTTGAGAATCTGAATTTCATTCCTCACTGATTTCAATACCTCCTGATTGGATACCAATTCACTTGCATCCATGGTCAATGAGGGAACCGAGGGAGGGCAATATTCTTCAAATTGCATCGCATACATTTCAAGACACCCATCTTGCATGGCAAGGTCATTTTCTTTGCACTTCAAGTCTTTCAATTTCTTAGAGAGACAACGCATTTCTTGTTGCAAGCGGGGACAAGAGCTTTCACACTTCATTAAGTGTTGGGTTATAAAATTGGAAGTCAACATCTTGTCACATAAGAACTGAAGCAGTAAAGTTTTCTGCATGCAAAATAAGAACTCCCAGTTAGTGCATTTTGGTCAAGGAAACACGTTATAAACCTCAAGATTCAAGGAGTAACTCGATGAAAATGAAGTGCATGAGCAACTTGTGAAGCTTTCGTAGAAAAATATAATAAGATTTGTGATTAGGAGTTAATTCAAGAATTGAACATTGAATTTAGATAAAAATTCAAATAATTTATTTTTGATATAACATAAACGTGAACTTTAGATGATCCTATTTATTGAATTAAAGAAATTTTTTAATTTATAATTAATTCTGATTCAGCATTCCAACAATCATAGCCTAAAGAAAATATAAGCCCATGTTATATTTGAAAAATAAGAAGGAAAAAAAAACAGTATCAATATGAAATAACTCCCAAAATTCAGTTTGCATTGTAGAGTTTTCTATTGCTATGTGACGAGTGAGTTTTACTCACGAGTTTTATTCTATTTTTAATTTGATTATGAGCTAGATCTTATGAATATTGAACATTTTTAATGTGTTTATTAATGTTATTTTGTAGGAGTGGTGAGATAGTGCAAATAATGAAAAGAAAGGAGGAAATAAGGCTATTGACATTGATCGAGGAGAAAAGAGGAACAAAAGATGCAAAAGAGTCAAATTTTGACATCAAGGGAAGGAAGAGGTGGCCTCCCAACGTCATGGATGTGTGAAGATAGATACGTGTGCGAAGACAGAGGTGCCACGCTGAACCATTCGCAAAGCTAGGAAAGCCATGTCATTTCTTTTTCATATTAATTGGAAAAAAAAAGGGTATAATAATATTTTCAACGAAAAATTACTTTTTAACGGTAAGATGAATGAAAATTGTCCATGTAAAATCCAATCGTTCACACCACATTTTCTATTTATTACGTCATAATTTAATTGTACTTAAGATTCTCAATCTTTACTTACTATAGCACTCGTGTTCCTAATTTTTTTCAACACATTCTTATCTTCGACTTTACATTAATTAGCACATCTTATAATCTTATAACATTTTTTTATAAAACAATCTGTTAACTGACTTATTTTTAGCTCATATTTAAAATAATAATAATAATAAATGCAAAAGTGTGACACTATTTTTTTTTCTCATTTCGAAGAACTATAACCAAAAAAGAAAAAGAAACCAACATCAATCGTCGAACTTGCTAATTGATAGAAGGTTAAAGATATGAATTAAATGAAAAAAGCTATAAATACAAGTATTACAATAAGCAAAGGTTGATGACCTTAGCTACTAATAAAAATTGATTACACTATATAATTTTATATTTTCAATGTAATTTTATAAACCTTATATCTCTTTTTATATTCTTTTAATGTTTCAATTCATGGGTTCCTTTCGATTAGAAGTCTACATTCATAATAGTAGAATTCCACTAAATGGAGGAAATCACTTATAAACATAAGTAAATAACATATTAATTAGGAAGCAAAAATTTTATTCTTCTAATGGTTGCATACCATAATTTGGAAATCACCGTTAACATGTTCATAACCAGTGAAGTTTTTAGCATAGGCAATTCGTATTATACACAATTATAAATAGGACTGGGCAAAATTTTCGAACCGAAAGTTCTTTTTCAGTTAAATACCCAAACATGTATCTAAATCGAGAACCGACGGGTTCAATATGGTTCTCAGTTCTAGATTAAGAATCGAAGAACCGAATCTCTTTAATTTTTTATTTTACTTATTTTAAATAAGCCAAATTATTTTTAAAAAATTGCAACATTGGTCCCTAATATTTTCATTTTTTGCGGACTTTACCCCAACCTTCATTTTGTGCCAGCAAAAGTCCCTAAACTTTCATAAATATGCACGTGAGGTCCATCTAGGAGCCTCAGCTGACACAAAATGAATATTATGATAAAGTTTGCAAAAAATGGAAAGATCAGGGACAGCTACTGCAATTTTCCCATTATTTTATTTTTTAAAAAATAAATTAGCTAACTAGTTAATTTAGCTCAAATTCAAAAATATAATTTTCCTATTTCTAATTTTCACTCCAAACCCAATTTAATCAAATTGATCTAAGTTTTACCCAAATCTGTTATACTATCGTACTGCCGTTTCTACCGTTTTAAAGAAATCAAATTGAAACTCAATAATGTCTCTCTTATTTATTGTGAGCTTACCATCTTTCTCTTCTGTGATTTTAACATTTAAATTTCTGAATAACTTAGCAAAAAGAGACGCAACTCCAAAATCGAATGGAACCGAACCCAAACGATTCCAAACGTCCCCTCCTCTCTTAACAAAAGGTCTCCCCGGTTCTGTTCTTGTGTTGTTGTTGCTACTGTACTCTGTCTCTGGTCCTTAGTGCAGACTTTCTATCAATTTCACAAAAGCTCTACTTATAATTGTAAACTTTTTTAAAGTAATGTGGCAAATGGGAAATGGACATTAACTAATTCCTTGGTAGGTGAACCAAGGACAGTAGGGTGTGACATCTTATCCATTGATTTTAGTTTGTGTTTCCTGATTCTCCCTCTAGCTTGTCTAAATTAAGAAACCAACATTATTTGGACTAAGGAAAAGATATAAATAGATTTAAATTTGACTAATGCAATGATTTGATTTATAAATATGTTGTTGAAAACTAGTAAAAAATTTGAACTGGAAGAGGTCCATTGTATTCAACATATTTGTCTTGCCAAGTCTTTTGTGCTTAGGAGAAGAATTGTTCTTCAACAGATAATAAATCTTCAATTTTCTTATTCCCACCTAAAAATAATATATTTGCATCTTAAAAGTCGTCAACTACATGATGTTCCAATCTTTCTATGATCAACTTCTTGAATTAATTGAAATGGCGAGTTAACAACAACTTAGAAATGATGTTGATAAAAAACCAACAAATGGGGATGGTCATTTTAAAATCTTTTTTATTCTATTGTCACCATCAATTTAAAATAATGTTAAAATCATTTTAAAAATATTTTATTCTTTTTCTTTAGTCTTTCGTAAAATTTCATTTAGAAACACACTTTTTTTCTTTCCCTTGCATGCTTTTGCATAGTCAGCACATTAAATGATCAAATCAATGGTGAACATGAGGTTTCAATTAAAATTCGGTCACAAACTGTTTTAGTTTTGTACAATTGGCTTTTCTTTTTTTTAACTATTCTTCCAGTTTGCGTTAGATTATTGGTTAATCACATAAGATTTTCTCTTAGTAGATTAAACAAAGTTTAACAAAGTCCTTAGGTAAAATTAAGCCATTAATTCATAGTTATAAATTGATTCCATGCAAATTTATATAGAATATGCTTCAAGAGGACATAGGCTACGTTACATGGAAAATACTATATTCTTTAGAAAAGCATTTGATCAAGAAACTACATAAGAGAAACATCTCCCAACACTTAATTCAGTGATCAATTTTTATTCTTCAACTCATGAGATATATTTTAGAGGGCAAACTCATCATAATATTTATTTTCTAGCTGTTGTTCACCCAGAATTTTCCTTGAAGATATTTAATAGCACTCGCGTCAACTTGGAAAGCCTTGGTGAGAACATTAATATTAATAGGCGGGTTGGATCCAAAAACTGCATTTGCAATTGTGATGACTCCTGGGTTTTGGCTACTTAAACCAGCGAATGCAAGTGCATTCTTCTTCCCTATATTAAGCTGGAAATGAATGAGACCTTGTGGAAACACAAAGACGTCTCCTGGATGCAAAATCTTGGCAAAGAGTTTGTTCTTTACATTTGGATCTGCAGGGTTCGAAGTAACGAATCCAACATACAGAGTACCCTCCGCAACAACAAGAACCTCACTAGCCCGGGGGTGTGAGTGGGGTGGATTGAGGCCGTAGGGTGCATAGTCGATACGGACTAAAGAGATGCCAAGCGTGTTGAGTCCTGGAAATAGGTCAACATTCACAAGTGTGACGTTTGATCCAACGGGATTTGCCGTATTTCTGGGCACGTTCAGTCCAGGAAAGAAGAAATCATTCGCACTAACCATTTTCGGATCCTTGCAAATCTTTCCATTCACAAAAACTGCAAGAAAAAATGGAAGCCATTGCTAAGCCATATATATTTATTTGCCAACAAAATTTATTACGTAAAATGCAGTGAAAATTATCATAAAAATTACTAAGAAACAGAATGCAATAAAATTATATTATTTCCCTAATGCAAGTTTGGTTGGAGATACAGTACTAAAAGAAAAAAAAGAGTGTCAAATGTATATACCTTTTGCATCAGCATCTTTAACAGCAACACAAAAATCCTGTAGGAGGGAGGGATCAGAAGCATATGTAAACGAAACCAATGAGATAATAAGAACGGAAATTAGAAAGCGATCGACCATTTTTAGTAGAACTGAAATTTTGTTTTTGTTGTGGTTTGTGGATGTTTATTTCGTGAGAGGGGATTGCATATTTATAGCGTGGCTTTCTATTTGAATTAGTCATCAACTAATCTTGCCAAGTATTCAAACAATAATTAACTACATATTTTCAAGAGCATATCATTTCAAACAGCTAACACTAAAAAATATTTGTTCTTCTGAAAATGTTCTCATTTAGTAATTAGTTGTTGATCAACTCGTAATTATTTAACCACTCTGAAAATTCAGGCTGTGTTTTCAAGTCATTTCAAAGTAGTTAATCCGTCATTCTCAGAACTTCTAGGAAATTTTTTTAGCAGACAAAATATAATGCACATGTCGAAGAAAAACTATAATTTGCATAATTCCCAATGCACTGTGCTCAAACTGGATTGAATTATGGAAATTATTGATAATTCATTAGTTGGCTGGCTAATGGAAGTTGTTCACCAATTCAGTATAATCAGTCTGTCAGCTTTTCTTTTGCCAGTGATTAAGGATAGTTTCCATCTTCCAAGTCTTTAATGCGTATCAATTTTTGGAATTTGGTTTAAAAGAGAGATTTGGTATAGTATGAAACCATGAAAAAACATGATTTTCGTGTCAACTTTGGCCAAATATTCGAATTTGACTCGATAATCAAATTATGAAAATAAATAGACTAATTTATTCTACTTGTTGAGTAGATGATCATAGTTTATTTGGAATCTCAAAATCAGTTCCGGATGAATGCAGAATTATGGTTCAAAATTGAAAAGAAAAGAGGAAAAATGGCCGAGATTTAGCCTAACTCTACTACTTGCCTAGCGCTCGAGTGGTGAGCGAGCGATAAATCAGTTTATTTTCAAGTATTGAAGATCATATTAACTACTTATTTAGCCCTCGTTTGATTCTCGTTCTTGTAAAAAATCATTATTTTAAAAACTTATTTTCAATTATGCATTTTTCAATAAAATAGTATTACACTCAAATTCAAAACCTTTCTTTAATTTTTTACCACATATTATCCATTAATCTACTATTCAAAATGCACTATTTCCCTCAAAATGGGAATCAAACAAAGGTTTAACAAATTTTATGTCTTTTCACTTTTAATTGCAGCCTCGAATCAATGGTGTACATAAAGGATTCTGTTGATTTTAAAATTTCTTGACTACTAGCGCCTTATTATCAATAAATTTGAGGTTGTCTTCCTATAAATAATTAAAAAAACAATGTTATATTGCCCTGCTGATGCGGCCCTCGAAGTTTAAGGTTGTCAAAATTGTGGCAAAAAAACTTACACCAAAATTAGCAGAAATTCATGATGAATCAAACTAAACATTCTCAGATTAATCTTGAGAAGGAGAATGTAATTCCTATCCACTCTAGGTACGTATATAGGGTCTAAATTCATCAAGTCACTTTAAACATGAAAATTCGTCGTCCCCGCCCTATCCCATATTATCCTATTCATAATTTTCGAATGGACCTGAATTTTATTTTATCTTTATAAATTAAAATCTAAATCGTATTTTATCTATATTTTCATGTCCCAGTTTGTTGATTTTATTCCTTCCTCACTCCCCTCCTTTTGTCACCTCTTTTTAAGGGTGTTGCTAAGCTTAACATATAATTGCTTTTTGGTCGTCTGGTTCATCCACATCTCGAAAGGCTCCGACAGACAAAAGATTTACGTGGAAAAAAATACCAATATTTATATTAAGCTCATCTAAAACTAGGTAATGTGTATTAAATTGTTAATTCTTCTTGTTAGTTGTGAAGTATTTTGTATTATATAGGGCAATT